TTTTCACCAGTGTTTAATAATTTTCAATATATTTGAGAATAATCAAAGGCAGAGGAAACAAAAGCACAGCACTCCAGTGCCTCACATGAGACCTATTAATAGCCTGGTGGAGTACTCAGGATAATGCACTGGATCCCAAAGTTGGTTTGAACTGAAAAGTCAGCAGTTCGAACTCACCAGCCACTTCTTGGAAACCCTATACAGGGTCGCTATGAATTGGAACCCACTCAATGGCACTTAACAATAACAACAAGTATATTTATAATAGTTGTTAAGAAAATGAATATACACATTGTTTAATATACTAGATAATAAGTACCTAAATATGAAATTTCTGGTAGTTCAATTTACCTTTCTCATTGTCTGGAGATACTGAAACACTAAGAGGTTATGTGTTAGTAGTACAGGTTCAGATGGTGTTTAAACCAAGCTCCAAATATAGAAATGTGTGATCTATATTATATGTGGCTTTTGCATTGAGAGTCTGAGACTGTTGGCATAATTAACAGAAAGAAAGATTAGTGTGATCAGACTTTGACTGCACAGGGCCTTATTTCGGGAAGGTGCTCAAGAAGGAATAAAAGCACAAAAAATAAGCACAATCTAAGAGAAAGAGATTCTTTATATTTACTTAACATGCACCATTCAGAGTAATGAACTGCAGAATTATCTAGTTTTTCGGAGTACTTTGATATTGGTTCCTTCACTGCAGAAGTTTTTATCATGAGGGAGAGTAAGCTGTATGTGTGTATTTAGGGTAAGGGATAAAAAGCTACTTCTTTTTAAAATGTTAAGTGCCATTGAGTCAGTTCCTACTCATAGGGACCCTGTATAGGGCTTCTGAGGATGGGTTTGAACTGTTGACCATGATGTAGCAGTCCAGTGCTTCCCTACAGTGCTGCACCAGAACACCTCTTAAAAATAAAGGACCAGAGCCATTCTTTTAAAGACAACATTTTCAAATCAATATTCAGACCCAAGATTTGCTAAATCTTTTTTGGCTCCAGAGTTGTTGTGCAGATCCAGCGAAACATAGATGCTACATTTTTAGTTGCTAAAGGGAGTTAGGTTGAGACTCATAGCTATAACTCATTGTGTGCCTCAATCTGGGAATGCTACTGCAAAAAAAAAAATTGTCAGACATTCTTACAGGGATCAAAGTTCATGTAATCTAGTGGTCAGGACTTGAACATAGAGCAGTATTCATAAGTATACATTGAATTCCAACACATCTACTCTTTTACTTGCCATGACAGTGGTAGGAAATATTCTGAATGGGAATGGATAAGTTTCTCAATGGAAATAAATAGGTTGAATTTAACTATAACAGTATTGCATGATAGATCACCATAGATCCTCATCAAAGTAATAGGTTGTCAGTGATTTTGTTTAACAGTACAAGCACTGAAGTACTAATCCTGGTAGGACTCCCATAACTACTATATTGTTGTTGTTAAGTACCGTTGAGTCGGTTCCAACCCATACCGACCCTGTATAGGATTTCCTAGGAGCAACTGGTGAGTTTGAACCGCTGACCTTGTGATTCAAACCAACTTTGCAGTCCAGTGCATTAACCCACAGTGCCACACCAGGACTCCATAACTAGTACAAAGGTTAGGATTTGTAGCACGTATTTTGGGGAGAACACAATTCAATACATAGCAAAGAGAGAAAAGAGACAAATACTATTTCTTTATCATTTCTAGAGATCTAGCATTTCCTAAGAAAACTCTGGTGCCTTGGTATGGCATTTGATGTAAGCACTGGACTGCTAACCACAAGGTCAATGGTTCAAATCCACCGGCCATTTCTCAGAAACCATATACAGGGTCACTATGAATTGGAACCAACTTGAGGACACTTAACAATAACAACAAAGAGTATTCCCAAACTGAAAATGAAACATACATAACCATGTCTTCATTTTCACCAAACTGCTTGCACACTTATCAGCCAGGAGAACATAGCCTCAAACTGCATTAACTTTAGCATCACACTGCTAACAGAGACTGAACATGGAAGATACAGGCAACATCCCACTATCTCTGACCATAACCTAAAGTCTATGACTGGAATAATTACTATAAAGTCACCCAATTTTTATATTTCTGTTACAGCAGCTCTAAAAACAAAGCTACATGTTCTCAAGAATAATTAAAGGAAGTCTAGTGACACAGTGGTTAAGCACTTAGCTGCTCACTGAAAGTTTAGCAGTTCAAATCCACTAGTCACTCTATGGGAGAAAGATGTGGCAGTCTACTTCTGTAATGATTACAGCATTGAAAACCCTATGGGGCAGTTCTACTTTGTCCTATAGGATCACTGAATCAGAGCTGACTTAGCATCCACAGGTTATTAAAATAGGTTAAGAAAGAAGGGGCATTTGAGTACTCAGAAGGAATGTAAGTTCTCATCAAGGTTTTTAAAAATAAATTATTTAAAATAGCAGATATAATGCATTGAAAACTGGAAAGTATCTACAAATATAAAATATTGATATTGGAACTACCATCTCTCAAAGAAACTTCTTTGATTTCTAGATGTAATGGAGCTGAAATAAGAGTAAAACTTTATGAATGGTCAGAACATATATAACTCAACATGGGAACTTAAATAATTTTCTTTGCCCAAAAAAGACTAATGTGTTCTTGAGTATAGTTTCCCTCCAAAACAGATATTATTCTTCATGTTGTGAGAAGTGGTATATTGTAATTTTCTTCATTTTACTTAATGTTCTCTCTGTTAACATTATGCCAAATTTATCATAACTGCTTAGCTCAGAGAACCTATAATATTGAATAATTGTCTACTTGGTTTAGTGGTAGATTTCAAAATATCTACCAGTCATTATATTCCTTTATGATAGAAGTGATTTTCACTACATCTACTTCAAAAACTAAGTTTCACAAATTGTACAAAGTACTAGTTTTAAATAATTTAGGGTGATATGTTATATACCGTGTGGCAAAAGGTGGATGTCCTGCTATTTAGCCAGTTTTTAAAATCTGGCATTTGGCTTTTTACTCATTCTTTTGGTCACAAGTGTTCTTAGTACAATAGGATTTTGAATCATACTCATGTATTATAATAAAGTATCATTATTATACGAAATCCTTTTTATTTAAAATCTTACTCATAAATTTAGCACTTTTCAGTTGAACTGTTTCCTGGAAATAACCTTTCTAATCATTTTATTCACCTGGATTAATTGTGTTGAATGCTCATTGTCAATGGGTTAACATTTATTCTTATAATAGCAACAAAAGTAATAATCATGCAAAAGCAGAAACAATAACAGCAGGATGGAGTAGGCATTTAACATTTCTAAATGTTAAGAAAGGGAACATTTCTAAGAAAGGGAACACATGATTGCCCCATTATTTTTTACTGTATCACAGAAAATATTGGATAATATTTTTTAATGTTATGCTATTATTACATTTAATTAATCATCTATTTCACTGTTTTGGAAAGACATAGGATAGAGGAACAGGTTAAATGATGTCATGAGGAAACAATTAGACAAATCCAGACTGATATGAACACTTCAAAAATATATATTATCATTAAAAAGATGGGGAACTGTTCTGGAGGTAAATAAACATAACAACCAAATAAAATTGTGGAATTTGATTTATTTCTGATTTTTAAAGTTTTTATGACAGCTCTTTATAAAAAGTGGTTAAAAAAATAAGTTCATTTAAAATGGTATTTTCCTAAGTGTGATAGTTGTTGTTAAGTGCCGTCGAGTCTGTTCCGACCCATGGCGACCCTGTCAAGGGTTTCGAGGAACATCTTGTAAGCCGACCTTGCAGTTCAAGTGGCTTTGCAGTCTGACGCATTAATCGCCACACGAGGACTCCCAGGTGTGATAGTAGCATTATGATTATGTGGGGAAATGTCCTTTTACATAGGAAGATGCCTGCCATGATGTCTGCAAGTTAAGTTTTAAGTGGATGGGGGAGGGGGGGGTAATAGAAAACAATATGTGCATGCATGTGTGAGAGAGAGTGAATGAGTGAGGGAAAATCTGGTAAAACAGAAACAGTTGCATACTTTGAATGGAAGATATATCAATGTTCATTGTATAATTCTTTTAACTATTTTTTTTATATTTGAGATTTTTCATAACGACAAATACTTTTTAAAAAGAAAGAAAAACAAAGGCTTAAAATACCTAACAAATTTATCTTTATAAAGGAAACTAAATAAAAATATTGATATTCACATGAAATTATCTAGCTGACCTTGAAGAGTTTCATATGTCTCAAACTCATCAAAACACAACGAAATGTGAAGTGCAAGCTGTTTAAACAAGAAATCCAAGTAAGGGAAATATTCCAGAGTTCTTCACGTTTTCGTTTGTAGTTTGTCCTTTTCCTGGGTCTCTATACTTTTCCATTGGGCTTGAATGTGCGGATGATAACCAAACCACTACTGACATGGGTGTACATGCCCAAGCGCTGATTAAAATCTGAAAACTGCCTAGTCAAAGCCTTGTTTATCCTTTATTCTACGACAGAGGTCACTCACTTCCACTTTCTGAAATTAAGGTGTTTTTTTCCCTCTAGTTTCAAAAGAACCTTTGATTCAAGGTAACCACACTTACCTTATTGTTATGGATGTAATGAAAAATCCTTTGAAGTGCAAATAATATTTTGGTACTTTTACATTTCTTGAAACCATTAAGTTTGTTGCTATTAAACTTTTCTTCTGGAAGAAAAGATAGGGTTTTCATAATCTTTAGGCGAAAGTAAACACTCAGGAAGGACGCAGGGTGGCGCTGCAGCCTTAGAAGTAGAAGCAGCAAGCAATCACGCCTTTAGTCAGAGGTACCCTGCCAAAGCAAACAGGAAGAGCAGGCTTTCTAAGGCAGTCGCTGGGAGAAATCCGGGCCCTAGGATTGTCCACTCAACTTATAATCTGCGAGACTCTTGTGAGACGGATTCATCGTCAATACGAATCCGAACTGGGTCAGGTTTGCTGAGAGACCAGAAGCGATGGAGGCCGGAGAGGAAAAGGAACGCGTTCTGAAGCAAAGGCAAGTCTTGCTATTTTTTGCTTTGCTGGGCATAGCTCAGGCTGATTTCGAACTTAGGCACTATTCAGTGGCTGAGGAAATGGAGAGTGGATCCTTTGTAGCTAATTTGTTAAATGACCTGGGACTGGAGATAGACGAGTTAGCTGCGCGGGGGCCTCAAGTCATTTCCAAAGGGAAAAAATTGAATTTGCAGGTCGATAGGCAGACCGGAGATTTGTTATTAAATGAGAAATTGGACCGCGAGGAACTGTGTGGCCCCACGGAGCCGTGTGTACTACCGTTCCAGATATTACTGGAAAATCCCTTGGAGATTTTTCAGGCTGAGCTACGGATTAGGGATATAAATGATCATTCTCCAGTATTTCTAGACAAGGAAATTATTTTGAAAATTTCAGAAAGTATCTCTCCTGGAACCACTTTCCTAATAGAACGAGCCCAGGACTTAGATGTAGGATGTAACAGTCTGCAAAATTACACCATAAACCCCAATTTCCACTTCCATCTTAAATTGCAAGATAGTTCCACTGGCATATTGCCACAGTTGGTCCTGGACAAAGCACTGGATCGCGAAGAACAGGCTGAGATCAGTTTAACGCTCACAGCGTTGGATGGTGGGACTCCACCGAGATCTGGCTCTGCCCTGGTCCTCATTGAAGTCGTAGACATCAACGACAATGCCCCTGAATTTGCAAAGCTGCTCTATGAAGTACAGGTCCCTGAGAACAGACCCATTGGATCCCAGGTTGCTATCGTCTCTGCTAGAGATTTAGACACTGGAACTAATGGAGAAATATCCTACACATTTTCCCAAGCCTCCGAAGACATTCGCAAAACGTTTCAAATAAATACACAATCTGGAGAACTTCTTTTAACACAGAAACTAGATTTTGAATCCGTTCAGACTTATACAGTAAATATTCAAGCGATAGATGGTGGGGGGCTTTCTGGAAGTTGTGTGTTGTTTGTTCAAGTGATGGATTTGAATGATAACCCTCCGGAATTGACCATATCAACACTTATCAACCATATCCCAGAAAATGTGCAAGAGACCATAGTTGCTGTATTCAGTGTTTCAGATCCTGATTCAGGAGATAATGGAAGGACGGTTTGCTTCATCCAAGATGGTCTTCCTTTCTTTCTGAAACATTCTGTTGGGAATTTTTACACTCTTTTGATAAACACGGCGCTGGACAGAGAGACCATATCCGAGTATAATGTCACAATCACAGTTACAGACTTGGGATCCCCCAGGTTGGAAACCCAGCAAAACGTAACTATTTGGGTCTTAGATGTCAATGACAACGCTCCAACTTTCGATCAAACCTCTTACACTATGTTCATCCGCGAAAACAATAGTCCCGCCCAGCACTTGGGTAGCGTCTGCGCCACAGATAGAGATTCAGGTGCCAATGCACAAATCACATACTCGATGCTGCCGCCACAGGACCCACACCTCCCTCTCGCCTCCATGGTCTCCATCAACGCTGACAACGGGCATCTGTTCGCTCTGAGGTCGCTGGATTACGAGGCACAGCGAGCATTTGAGTTCCGCGTGGGCGCGGCAGACGCGGGCTCCCCGGCTCTGAGCAGCGAGGCGTTGGTGCGCGTGGTGGTGGTGGACGACAATGACAACTCTCCCTTCGTGCTGTATCCGCTGCAGAATGGCTCTGCGCCCTCCACCGAGCTGGTGCCCAGGGCAGCCGAGGCGGGCTACTTGGTGACCAAGGTGGTGGCGGTGGATGGCGACTCAGGCCAGAACGCCTGGCTGTCCTATCAGCTGCTCAAGGCCACGGAGCCCGGACTGTTCAGTGTGTGGGCGCACAACGGCGAGGTGCGCACCTCCAGGCTGCTGAGTGAGCGCGACGCAACGAAGCATAGACTAATCGTGCTGGTCAAGGACAATGGGGTACCGCCAATGTCGGCCACCGTCACGCTGCACGTGCTTCTAGTGGACGGCTTCTCTCAGCCTTACCTGCCCCTCCCTGAGGTGGTCCCCAGCGAGGTCCAGACAGACTCGCTCACCATCTACTTGGTCATTGCATTGGCATCTGTCTCGTCACTCTTCCTGTTCTCCGTGCTCCTGTTCATCACGCTGCGACTGTGCAAGAGATACAGATCCGCCTCAGTGCCAGGAGGTCATTTTCCAGGCAATTTAGTGGACGTCAGCGGCACTGGAACCCTATCCCAGAACTACCAGTACGAGGTTTGCCTGACCGGAGGTTCTGGGACCAGCGAGTTCAAGTTTCTGAAGCCAATTATACCCAACTTACTTTCACAGGGTGCTGAGAGGGTTAATGAGACAAATGCTAGTTTCAGGAATAGCTTTGAATTCAGTTAAGTATTATTGAGAGTCTACTGAGCCTAGTTCAGCACTCAGTTAATCGCTGGACTACTAACCAAAAGGTTAGCGATTCCACTCATAAACACTTCTGAAAAAAGGGCTGGTGGTTATCTACTTTGGAAAGTTCACACCCTTGAAAACCTAGAAGAGTGCAGTTCTATTTTGCATTGCATGTGGTCTGGCTTAATTTAACTGTTTTACCAAGTGTTATCTCAGTTAATTTGTAATTAATTAATTTTTTTTTTACTAGTTATCCTTTGGAATGCCTTTTTATTTGAAATGTAACTATCCTATTCCAATTCTGTGCATGGTATTCTTACTTTTAAATGTGCTACTTCAGGATTATATATACATATATTAAAACAACAGCAAGAGAGTGGAGTTACTTTTGATTCCTAATGACTGCATAGAACACTGTAGACCTGCCCCATAGACCTACCCCATAGAGTTTCCACGGATGTAATCTTTGTAAAAAGCTGACTGCCACATCTTTCTCTCCTGGATCACCAGTGGGTACTAGAATCACCACATTTCCTTAGCAGCCTATCACTTAAATACTGTGTGGCCAGGGTTCCCTTATGAGGATATGTTGTTGTTGTTGCGACCCTGTATAGTGTTTCCAAGGAGCAGCTAGTGAGCTTGAACCGCTGATCTTGCAGTCTGGCACATTAATCCACAGCGCCACACCAGGACTCCTATCAGAGTATTTTGTTATTGTTAAGTGCCATCGAGTCTATTCCGACCCATATCAACCCTGTATAGGGTTTCCAAGGAGCGGCTGATGAACTTGAACCACCGACCCTGCAGTTCAAACGGCTTTGCAGGGTATAGTGTCTGTAAATTTTCTTTGTATTCTAATTGCTGTTTAGTCTCATTGTTGCTTAATTTGATTTAAAGTTGAAAGTAAAATTTGTATTTTCAGAAATCTTTAATGTTTTTAAAAGTTAGAGCACCCTTTTCCAAACTCACATTCCCAAGTTCCTTCATATTTTAAATATTTGCTATTACTGTGTGGGTAAGGAGCTCTGGTAGCATAGTGGTTACGAATCGGGCTGCGAACCATAAGATCAGCAGTTCGAAACTACCAGCTGCTCCGCGGGAGAAAGATGAGGCTTTCTACTCCCGTAAG